AGGAAATTATGGCTACCTCAGGGTCACAAATATTTTATTTTATAACACATTATGTGCCTATTTAAAGAGGAAAATTGAGGAGGGAATACTTTTCATGGAACCTCATTATTCTGACGAATTTGGACATCGTTGTAAATTCAGTGGCCTCCGCAGTTCATACACCGCTTTTTTGTAGTCCAATCTAAGTCGCTAACACTTAGACTCATGGCTCTTAGTATCGTTCAACGCTGTATTTACGAAACCGATGATACAGTTGCGGAGCCTGTTCACGTAAGGCTGTCTATCGTATCGATTTCTACTAGAGTTTTGAAGGATCGAGAGGTGCTTCGGTAAGACGTTCAGTTCTGTGGTGCGTCAGCAACTCTGAGATAAGCGCGAAGCGGCAAAGAATACCTTGTTCACCACCAAATATAGTTCCACCGTTGAGGAATACGCATGAACCTCGCGTTACCGTAACGCGGAAAATATCTTCCTCAACGGGGGTGCCGATGAAGCACTTGGCGGTGCGGGCAAAACGCCGCCAAGTCGATTGCTGCGAAAGATCGAGCCGCTTCATAAACGCCCTTTCCGTAAGAAAGAAGTTAATGAGAAGCGAGTGGCGTCCTCAAACCGCATGACGGATGTGCGTGGAACGTTTGATCTCTAAACGTTTTCCTGCCGTCGTAATGAGGCGACGATTTTTTGATCACTTCGCTTCGTTCAATTAGACACGAATCAAATCTGATTTCTGTTTCGTCGGTAAAAACTCGAACCTCATTGCCTCTTACTTGTGCTCGGAGGACCACGGTCCGATTTCGTTCAAAAAATGCCCGGCAGCCGGTCAATTCACTTAACGACATAACGCGCGCTGGACACTTCTTTCTTTCGGCGCCGGTGCCCCCCCTCCCCCGAGCTGCTATTACCGTACGTCGAGCAGCAGACACCAGACAGCCTCGCTGCGTCATGCGTCACAGCAAGGCCATCGGAAAACGTTAAACGCTTAGTTTAATGTCTGGTCAGAATCAATCCTGATGACCACCCGATGACCGGAAGTACGAAGTCCGAGACAAGCACATAAAATCAATCAAT